CTTTTTGAGACTAAGTGGGTGGCTCTTAAAAGAGCCTTTGGGTTTATTTATGAGTAAACTCTTTAATTTCTTCTCAGTCGTTTTACTTCTTTTTGGGTGCCGCCTTCTTCGCCTTGGCCGCTTTAGGCTTGGCTGCCTTTGGCTTGGCTGCTTTGGGCTTCACTGCCTTGGCTTTAGCTGGACTCTTCGCCGCCTTCTTGGGGCGCCCTGCCTTGGCCGCTTTCTTGGGGCTCTTGGCCGATTTCTTGGCCGCGGTGGCTGCCGGCTTCTTTGCCTTCTTGGGGCTCTTCTTCACCGCCGCCGCTTTCTTGGGCTTCTTGGCGGCGCTAGCGGGCTTCTTGGCCGCCGGCTTTTTAGGCTTGGCTGCTGGCTTTTTCTTAGTTGCTTTCTCTTTTGTCTCACCCGGCTTCTTATTCAGCTTGAAAGAGCCGGAGGCGCCCGTGCCCTTGGTCTGCACCAGAGTACCTTTGCTGACGAGACTCTTGAGCCCCAGCTTGATACGGCTGTTGTTCTTCTCCACATCGTAGCCGCCGGCGGCCAGCGCCTTCTTGAGCGCGGCGAGGGAGAGCCCCTTGCGCTCCTTGGAGGCGGACACGGCCTTGGTGATCAGCTCGGTGACGCTGGGCCCCGCCGGCTTGCGGGCTTTGGAGCCGCCCGCTGCCTTCTTCGGCTTCTTGGCGGCGGCCTTAGCGCCGGGAGCAGAGACAGCGGGAGCGGCAACAGGCGCGGTCTCCGACATAGTGGCAGCCGTCGTCTACGAATCAGGGAAAACCACTGGGCCTGGAGCAAGTCAGCGGCCTCGTATTTATAGAGAGGAGCCGCACGGTGATTGGTGCGCTGCAGAGCCCGCCCCGCTGCACGGCAGAAAGGTCCCTTCTCCCCGCTCATTTTGTGTTTCTTAGGAGTCAAAAAAGCCTGTTTTTATCAGAATTTCTGCCATCAACCGCCCCCCCGTTCACAGCGACGTGGAAAAGAAAGACTGTTCTTCCCCTCGGCAAAGTTTCCCTTCGAGAAGGCAAAGGGTGAGTTAAAAAAGAGGCAATAAACCCCGAGTCCTGGACCTAGACAGACCTCGGGAGACAGAAACTTTTGTTTTTCCTTCTAAATAAAATCCGCCACGTGGGCAACTAAATCTTCAGACTAATTAATTATTATTCTTTAAAGGGTCGCCTCTTAACCTGAACTGAAAATCAGGGATTTGAATTGATATTTTAATCGCAAATTGATTTCAAAGAGGAGGAAGTAACACAGGCTCATCTTGAGCACTGAATATGGATTAGAAATTAGCTTCTTTGTCCAAAATCCTTTACCCCTTTCTAAATAACTAAAATAAATTAAATTAGTGCATTATGCAACAAGGAAAGAAGCAGATTAAAGTCCTGTGAAGAGCTGTTTATGCCCCAGAAGGAGATGATTTTTTTACATCATAACAGCTTGTACTGTGTTGCTCAGTGTGCACAATACAGACATGGTTCCCTAGTGCTTTGCTACAGAAATTTATTTTCTTTAAAAATTAGGTGGCATAAGAATTTAACATGGCCAGTTTTTGTTAAGTTATAATCGGTGCCCTATCACTTTATAATTCAGCAGTGTTTTTATTTTGATACAGCTTGATTGGTGAAAATCTGAGTCATCATTATCCAAGGAGACACTGCTGTAGCTGATTTTTTTCCATACTTCTACATAATAAAACTTGCTCAAGTTATCAGTTAGGTCTCCCCTTTCACAGCAGATTGCAAATTTTATTTTTTTTTTTATTGTCCAGTGACTGATTCCTGCATTGAAAGTAGTATTAAAAATGGCATGTTCAACTGATATATCTGCTAAAGTGGCTGCTTAGCAAGAGGGGGAAAGTCTTCAGATGCACTTCACCAAGACCACACTTCAACGAATTCAAAACAAATTAATTTTATTTTTCAGAGTACACAGAATTAAAACAAGTATTCTCTGTTATTTTTATTGTTGCCTACAACCTTCTGTTCTGCCCAAGGCCTGCAATCTGCTTGTTACCCCTTGCTATTTTAACTGTCAGTGGTACTAAAATCTTTGTACAATGTTATTATTCAAGTAATTTATGTTCTCAAATGGGTTATTAAAATGTGTTTATTGACTTATAGCACCACTGATTTTTCTGTTTCTATTTGAACAGCACTTCATATAAGGTAGTCACAACTGACAATAGTCCTTTTTGGACAGGCAACTTGAGGTAGTGATTAACAATTATTCTCAAGTCCATCCAGACTTCAGGCAGAGAATGGCCATGGCGGCTCAAAGCCATGAGAAAATGGTATTAAAAATTAATAATTCAAAATGTCTGTTCTTATACCAAAAAAAAAAAGTCTGTAGGTCAAAAGGTTGTTTAGAGAGTGACAGGATTTTTAAAGACATCAGTTACTACAGCTTCACGCAGGGCTGAGCCAATATGGGAGATCTGTTGGGGCTGTGGGTTCTCGCAATAATCAACTTTGTGCCTTTCTCTCCCCTACAGCGCAAAATTTTCACACTACATGATTTTTATCATGTATTTTGCAGTAATTAACAAATTTTGTAATGCCAACATTTAAAATTTTTTTATTTTCATGAGCAAATAGAAGGGTTTTAACTTGGTTGGTTTTGCCAGGATCTACAGCTCCTTTTACGAAGAAGTGGGTGGCTCTAAAAAGAGCCTTTGGGTCACTTGTTAAGTGGGAACACTCTGCAGATAATTCTTTCACTTGCTCTTGGCTTTGTGGCTGTCGGTCTTCTTGGGCAGCAGCACGGCCTGGATGTTGGGCAGCACCCCGCCCTGCGCGATGGTCACCTTGCCCAGCAGCTTGTTGAGCTCCTCGTCGTTGCGGATGGCCAGCTGCAGGTGGCGGGGGATGATGCGCGTCTTCTTGTTGTCGCGGGCCGCGTTGCCCGCCAGCTCCAGGATCTCGGCCGTCAGGTACTCCAGCACGGCCGCCAGGTACACCGGGGCGCCGGCGCCCACCCGCTCCGCGTAGTT